AGGAGGTACTGGCTCAGCAGGAGGCTCGGTGGTGGCTGCTGTGCGATGTAACTGCTCTTGGCTTTCGGGCTTCCAGTCATTATCTGTCGTTTCTTCGCTGTCATCAAATTGTGACTTCCACTGACTGGCTAGTGTAAGCGCTCCACCTTCTCGTGTCACCTGCTGACTGAAGTTCTCGTCATCCATCTGGGCGAATTGTGTGACACTCTGGTCCCTGAGTCCGGATCTGCTGCTTCGTGCCGTGGAGGGTTGTCTGCTTCGTCTGCCCCCTGATTGCGAATGGGCGGGCAGCTTCTCTTGATCCGGAGATTCGGCCCCACCAGTTCCTGTGTCTCCCCCTGTAGGGGTTGCTACCCGCAATCTGCCTAGGGTGGCAACGCCGGATTGTGACTTTCTGATCGGTATTGGTTTGCTGGCTGTTGCTGCGTCTGATGCTATCGATTTGGCGGCGGCATCATTGTCCAGCCTATCGGAAGATGGTGGTTGCTCCAAGTGTGATTTTGCCCGACGTTTTCTTTGCTGCTGGTGTTGCACACTTTGGTTATGGTGGGCCATGTTTTGATTGTTGCCTTGCGTCAGATCTGTAGCATTGCAGTTCTTGTCCACCGTAGCTCTTGGACCATTTGTATGTGTATCTGTGACTAGAGCAGTTGTATTTTCTGTCTCTTTGTGCCTGATGTCTAAAGGTATCTCCTTGTTATCAGTGGTAATGGGCTCGATGTTTTCTTGGTTATAGTCAGTGGCGATAGTAGTAGGTCGTAACTGAGTAGCGTTATGTCTGGGCAGGGTAGTGGGAGCAATGGTAGGTGGCTGACCAATGCCCACACCAGTTTGTGATGGAGGCTGCCCAGGTGTTGCACCATCTGTTGTTGTCACTGATGCCACCACAGCGGGTTTCTCCCAATCGTATGGGTCAGACTCTTTCACACCTCGTCGCTTCATGCATCGCTCGAATAGACTGATCAACATTTGGTAATCTGGTTTGTCAGCATACTCCAGGCTTTGTATGTGATCCAAGAACTGCTTTAAATCGGACGGCAAATGCTTTAATAATAATCTATGGTCATACTTTTCCTTCATAAGGCCTACTTGTTCCTTATCCTTTACTTTCCGCCATGGTAACTGGCCATTCACAAATTCTACTAGCATATAAAATAAACTCCAGAGATCATCATGTCTTCCCATTTCTCTATTTTTGTGTGCGTTGATACTTGCATAGCGCACTGTGCCCCTAAATCCTGCAGCAGCCCTGGGAGCTCGTACTTCACCAGTAGCAGTTGTGTACTGCCTTGCTAAGCCAAAATCTAACATATATACTTTTCTACAGTTATATGGCAGTCTACCCATAGAGAAATTACTAGGTTTAATATCACGGTGCAGAAATCCAACAGAGTGTATGCTCTCAATGGCCTTGAGTATTTGGAGGCCCAATCGCAGTGTTGTGGACAAACTGAAGGCTGCCCTAGGCTGAGCCCGCCTAAGTTCAGCTAGATTGCGGCCTTGCAATTGCATCACAACATAGTTGAATCTGTCATTTCTGCCACAGCCAATGAATCTGCATATGTGCTCTTTGCCTTGCAGTTTTTTCAACACAGCCACTTCCATTTTCAGTACTTGCTTGGGTTGTCTTGCGGATTCCACTTTCAGTGCAACCTGCTCCCTTGTCATGAGGTCTAACCCCTCGTAGATCTCTCCAAATCCACCTCCGCCAATTTTCTTGATCACCTTCCATCGTTCTTTGACAACATGCCCTGGTTGCAGCAGATCCTCAGATGTCATGATAATGTTTTGTTTGGTGAAATCTCAGCCCTCCCAGCTCAACTTTTTTGGCAAATTGAAATGCTGATAATCAATACACACGCCATATTTCTTTACGTATTATGATGTTTAACGTCTGATGAAGTTAGCACTGTGCTGGATACTGCTTCGGGTAGAAATATTTGCTTTTCATTTACACTTTCAGCTTTCAGGCCTTTTTCAAAGGCAAAAAGTTCTTGGATCACAGACTGACATTTCATATACTGCAATTTTGACAACTATGTCAAAGAAGGGGAGACAGTCAGAGCGAATATTGAATAAAGTAGGACAAAGATAGAGCTACATATAAATTTAAAGGTCCTCAAATTTCTCCCAATCAAATCCCATGCAGGAGGTTTTCCGTATTGACCGTAAGCGACGTTGCCACGTCCAAACACGTATTCGCACAATCTACTACATTATCACCATACGATCAACTCCGAAAATAAAGTTTTGCAGATTTGTGAGAAAATATAACTATAGCCTTAATAATAATAATTTATTGGTACTATTACACAAAAATGTGTTTGCACAGGTCATTTAAAGTAGTACATAAAAGAGTAAGTAAAAGTAACAAACAATACGAAAATAAGACAAACGTAAAACACAAAGTGGCAATAAAAGGTAAAAAAAACTTGATAAAACTATTTTAAAATTTAGAGGAACAATAAAATAAGATGGTTAAAAAATTATGAAATACTAATCATTTTTTCATGTTTGTACTCAAATGTCCTTACACACGTCTGGAGAACGATAAAATATAATACAAAAATAACACATAAAAAAAACAAACGAAAACAAAGTAATAAATAGTCAACAATTATGGAACAAAGATATGCATACATTTTTTAATTCTGTGGAAAAAATTATTCAGTCTGCATTATTGTAATACATTCATGAAAACTCAAACCGCAAACATAATTTTTGGTAAAAATGTCTATAAATTTACAATCACAATTTAAGGCCATACAGTTTAAGATTTCACGACGAGCATCCCCTTTCCTGTACGGACGAGTCAGTCTCGAATTCCGCCTTCAATCAGGGAATCCGAATTGACATGAGATAATATCAGACCATGCATTTATTTTTGTTGTGGCAGTTTTTGTTTTGGTTCCCACAAGGTACTGCGCTGCTTGTACAGAGCAATGATTTCAGGACTTTTTGCTTGGTTCATTTTCATTCTGTCGACTCAGTCGCTCGATCAAACGACGCGAGGGACTCACCGTAAAACTCGGGCGAGGGGGCACGTCTTCACGGTGTGAGGGAATAGAAGCAAAGCTGATGCGCGTCATGTAAATCCGCCGTAACACATTACTAATCAACAAAAACAAATGTGGAGCTCAACATTTCCTCCAATTATTTTACCATATTGTGACGTGTTACAATGTCATACATGTTTCTTCCCGTAGAAGGTTTTCCTTCATCCAAATCGCTCAAAAAGTTATTATTCAAATGTTAAAGTACAAGATTTCTTGTATTGATATAGTGCTAAATCATTGTATTTGTGTTATATCAAATTTCAATAAGATTTTCAGCTTATGTACTTTTGAATGTTTTGAATCCAGTCCAAAATTCTAGTCAGATAATCTGGCAACAGCGCGGGTGCACCAGCTGCCCGTCATGCGCTTCGGACAGGCGCATCGGAACATGCGCAAAAAAGGGGCGGACGTAGAACGAAGGTTCGCCATTTTTAGTCGAACTGACCAATCGATAAAGGGTCAGCTGATCACATGTAGTCGTATCTTGACGTAACTCCGAAGGTACGAAAATGACAGTTCGATCGCAGACCTAACCTCATTTATTTACATCCAAAACATTGAAAGATCTTATATTCCAATATTCAAAAGGATGGAAAAAGACGAGCTTTGGCGTGCCTGTTTTGGATTTCGTTATTGTGGTCTTCGAATTCAATGTTTCGCTGTACCATGATGAAGACTGAGAGAAGTATGTTACAAGAACTTCATTAGAAACTTTGTATTTGTCTTCAATGTTGCTTCAATCTGCAAACTTTCAAATATCGTATTGTCCCAGGGACCAAACCCTCTACTCTAACACGACGTTGATAATTGTCAGCTCAGATATACTAAATCTAGAAGCAGAGTAAATAAAGATACTTATACCATCTATTCCCATATTTTTTTTAATAAAACCGTCTTGTGTTGTTGATTCATAGAAAGATCCACTGTTCTAATGATTTATCATATTTTTCCCATACAAAAATGTAAAATTGGTGCTCAATTTTAAACCAGGATGCTTCCCACAACATGAAAATGCATGTTGGCAATTTACATCGGTCAACATGTCTGTCTATTGGCGTCTTTGCAACCACAAAACTTTAGAAACAGTTGTACACATTTTGATGAAATTTGGGAAAGGATAAGCTAAGGGCAGCACATTATGTATTGATACTATGTTTTTCCAGTTTCTGTTAATTTTTTGATGTCATTAGGTGATAATTTAAGGTTTAAAAAAAATGAAAAAGAGTTGCAAAAAAGAATGGTAACATGTTTTTTATTTTAACATCACTGCATCAACCTAAGACGCACCTGTTTTGTACGTCCAGTCTGGATGCGCCATCACATCTGTAAACTCCAGAATTAATGTGTAGGGAGGTTGGTAGTATGGGTAGGAAACAGGATCCGGCAATAACTTATCCCTAGAAGGCTCCTGGATAAATGTGGTTACGGCATCAATCTGTTTCCTCATGTTCATCAGGTACTGTTTCCATATTGGAACTTCAGGGTCCAGAGTTTCTGGTTTTGCTATTTTGATGATGATGTAGGCACTGCACAGTGCTGCTGATGTCCCCAACACTATCAGCAGATATTTCAGGGATTTTGGTATTGGTGCATTTTTCTCTTCTCCTGAAGTATCATGCTTGTCATCTACCTTTAGGAAAACAGTTATGGAAGATTTGGTTTTAATTACAATTAACAATTTGAGGGTCAGGAAAATGTTCTAAGAAAATTTCTGATTATATTCTTTTCTAAATATAAAGGCAAAATATGATGAAACATATTTGCTTCACCTTTCATAAGATTTGTTCTACCATAGATTGTCATTTATAGTTTTAGGGAAGGAGCAATGACAATTCCACCACCATGATGGCCTTTTTCAAAATAGAATTGACAGTATATTTTGTTTTAACTGTCATGCAGGAGATTGTTCATTTGTTCTTTTTGTTTCTTGGCTATGAAGTATATTGTCATTTGTACTTTGAAAAAGGCCACTATGGTGCCTCAAATGTCAACAAAAAAGTCATTCACACATGTGTTTTGTTTAGCCAATTTCGATGAAATTTTTGACACAATGTAGTTACTGCTATCCCAAAAGCTTTCTAGTTTTTGAAAATCAGTCCAGTGGCAGCGGCGAAAAAAGCCACAAACAAATCCATTCATGTACTGAGAAGGTTTGACTGATATAAACCTTATGATGTTTTTCTGTGCAGTCATTTACTGGGTTTTCCAATAACTGACTTGCAGACATTTACCAGTTGTTGCAGGGGAAGATAATATGGACAGATCAACTATTTGTAAATCACAAAGGTATTTTTGTAAAACACATTTCGGTGCATATTTTCTATGTTTTGTGTTTATGATTAATTCAGAATTGATATAAAATTATGAATGAAGTTGAGTAATAAAATTTTGCTTTTAAAGGTCCTGTCGGAGAGAAAATATTTATGGTACTTGTATTTTTGTGATTAAATGCATACCTTGAACCCCTTATTTTGAAAAGCCCGTTCGACAGTGGCAAGACGCGTAGTCGTATTTCCTGGACCTGAGCTTTCCATCGAAGGGTTTTGTCCGCTACTACAGTACACTTTGCTGAATGCAATGCTGGACAGCGGCGGCAGACAGAATCGTACCACTCGTTTTGCCAATACGTCACCTACTAAGTTCCACATTTCTTTTTTATACTGCTACTTCAGAACGAAAATTTCCGTTTGTTGTCAAAGTTTGACTTTTGAGCAGTTTGACAACTCATGTCACTCGGAAAAGTTTGACAGGAACGAGCATCTAGGGTTCACAGGGTGTGTTGTTACCTATTCTCGCTGTTTTCTTTTTTGGGTGATAGTGATAAATTAGAAACGTTTAACAGAGATAAAGTGTATGAATTCATGTAACTGTCGAAGTTACGGTTTCTATTGTTACGTCCTACGCCTCCGGTAGGTATTGTAATTGCGAAAAATTTGGGAAATGAGATATTGTTTTTGAATGTTATATGACATGCACATCACGAAAATCTGCGTCACTCATGTCTGTCGATCGGTCTGTCTGTTGGTTTGTTCGCTAATCTTTAACTTGGAAAGTGCTGATCGGATTTTGAAGAAATTTTCATACGTAGATATTACTGTGCCAAGCATGAACAAGATTTATAGTTTTTGAAAAACGGCCCAGTTGCTGCGAGACTAAAGGCAAAAAAATGAAAATCTGTCAAACTTTGTTTTTTTTGATATTTCAGAGGGTGCTGATCATTTTAAGAAACATTTTTGTAGGGGTTAAAAATTGTTCATATAGAGGAGGAGAATATATCTCAACCTTTTGGCGTTAGTATAGTTTATGTGTGTACTTTATTAAAGTTTTATGTAAATTGACTGGAAGACAACGGAATTGTTATCCAAGGTATCGAAAATTTACCTCTAAAAGGTCATTATTTGGCGTACGTTGCAAAACCTGATGATGTTAAATAAAAATAAAGTACTAGGTGTCTGTCATGATTCACAAAAAAACGCCCGCGAAACTATGCGTCTATCTTACTTGAATCATTATAACTGATTTTCTTTCAAGTTAGTCAACGACGTATAAGTGAACACTACATTATATACAGCGTTTGGGCAAAGTACAACCAACTTGTTAATATCCCAGTGATTATATTGACTGATAATTACGCGACAGATCGGGGTTCGATCACCCCACCAGAGGGATTTTTTTATTGATCTAAATACAATTGTTTCTTTTTACACATAATCAAGCCGTTTCAATGTTGTACACATCGGATTACCAGTAACCTTCTAGATCGGGCGCCAAACGTATAACTTCAATGTATGTTTATTTCAGCAACTGATAACATTGAAGAAATCAACATCGAAAACGCGCAAGCTCAAAAAGCCGTACACCCCTTCCCCAGAAAATAACAGAAAAAAGGCAATAGTCGAAGAGAAGCGTTTAAAAAGCAAACAAAATGGAAGAAAATCCGATAAACTTTCGAAGAAAATAAAAATGAAAAAGAAGCGTTCCACTGGATCGCCAAGTAGTAGCAGTACCAGCAGTACTAGTGACAGCAGCTCGTCCAGCAGTAGTTCCGGGGATGAATCGGAATCAGATTCGGAGGGAGAGAAGAAGAGGATGAAGCTAGAACTGGAAAAGAAGCTGCTGAAGAAGTACCAATCAGAAATCAGTGAATTGGTGGTGAGTAAATGATGACGTACGAGGATAAGGTCAACATTTCTTGGCCTAATACAGACATGGTGCTCCAATCAGCAAACATTTATAATTCCCATACGGGTGTACATAATAATTAAAACTTTGGTGCTGAATGCACGAGTAGTGCTTACACACGTCATTGAGAAAGTGGGTGTATGTTATAACAAATTACATACGCCGGAATAACAAACAACTTATTATGAAGACAATATCAAACCACAAATCGTACATGCATTGATAGAGTAACATGCAAACCTTAAGGTGGAATGGTAGCAAAGTAGTAACTTACAGTAGTATGCCATCGTTTATGTAATAGTTTATAATAGTTATAACTAATTTGTGTTACAAGCGTGTTCGCACACGTCAAATACAAGAAAGGTATTATTGCTCTAAATACTGTGCTAAATAAAAACAATACACAAAACGCTCAATGTAAAAGACAAAACACGAATAAATAAAGTAAAATCCAATTATGAAGAAAGAACTATAAAATCACTGTCCATGTATTCTTCAAAACTGCAAAAACCATTGTCTGTTATCTCCTTTATCTTTGATTCAAAATTATGATCCTCTAACTGGCGTACAGACTGGAGAAGAGCATTGAAATTTCTAGAAATCCACAGGATCTTCTGAAGAACTTTGTGGTTTCAAAGACAAGTTTCTACAAACAGATTTTTAACGCATATTTTTTCAGTTCAGTAAGTTTCAACCAAATATTGTCAGGAATACTAATTATTTCAGTCAAACTGATTATGAAAGGAAAAGAGGTCAATATGTTAAGTCAATTTAAAAGGTATTCAATTTTGCTTTGAATCCGCTTATCAATTGAACATAGTCGGAAGTGAACAATGGCGGGAATTTTATAACTTGCTTGTGTGGGCATTTGAAAACTCGTTCTCGGCCAGAGCAGCCTTGTTGTAGACCATAACTCAGTAGTTTCCAAGCCCTCAGACTGTTGAATCAGAGCTGCTTTCCAGCCGACTGTTTTTGCACACAGACGAGCATCTACGCGCGTATATGCAATAAACACTTGTTTCAGGTTGATGTTTGAAGCACATATTTACTTCTCCCCTTGCCCTTCAAGCACCAGCCATTTGGTTGGAGCTTCAAACCCATGAAAGCTGTCAGTTTGTTATAAATATATAAATACTTATTCATTTAATAGCTTGCTTTTTTCATCTATTTTGTAATTTAAGCAATACTGATTATTGAAAGGCACTGATAAATACAAAAATACTTTTGTCTATAAAATCTAATAAAAAAACCCCAAACAAAAAAATACGGAAGAATGTCAAGCAAAATAGATGGCAAGATGAAAACTAAAAATATATCAGCAAGAGAAAAGCGCTGAGCTGTGACATTGACAAGTAAAATTCGGAACAACCTTTTGTTACATATGCCCACAAATCTTCGATGTAGCTTATATCCCAAGTAAAAATCCATGGAACTGTTTTTTTTAATGATCTAGACGCATTCAGAACACCTGGTGGCAGAACTGGCAAAAGAGAGGAAGAAACAAAAGCAACTGAGGAAAGAACTGGAGGAGAATAAAAAGAAGCGGAAGAAAAAGAAACGTGAGAATGATGTAACTATAGTTGATCGTATTTTGAAAAAGAAAGAGAAAAATAGGAAAAAATTGAAGAGTATGCTTGCAGAAAAGCTTGATGAATCTGCCATAGAACTTAAAAAGCCTCTTAAGGGTACCAAGGAAGCGCTTTCACTTAAACAAAAAATGGAGCAGAAATTGAATGCTGCAAGATTTAGGTAAATAACAATAATAGTTTCGTTCCAACTAACATTGTGCATTGACCATTCAGTCCTCATCCATCCATTTGCAAATAGATTTCAAATCTTTTCACTTTGAATTCGATTACTGAAACTGTATGATCATAGGAAATACTTTTAACGTTCCGATTGTACTTTGCTCATAGAGCTCTCCCTGACTGGGATACCATGGCGGCGTCGCTAACAATGCTGTCATGGCTTCTTCTGGATTTGAAGGCCACTAGATAGAGTAGACACAGAATAACCAGCTACATCGTTTGCTCGTCAGGTGGTAACCGCAGTTTTGTCTCTTCATAATTAGAAGGGATCCCGATAATTTCTACGACGAAAAAGAATGAAGAAAAACAAAGAGGAGAATCTTTAGGTACGAGTCATGTGACGTCCATGCAACTTCAGGCCCGTCTCTCACTACGATGCCATTACGTTTCACGTCTCTGTCAGTGTTAGTTGTGTGGTTATACTGCTTTGTTTGTCCCCACTTCAATCGGCAAACCTTCAGATTGTGAAGTAATTTGTTTTATTTAAGGAAAAAAGTTCCTCCTGTTGAAAAAAACGCCTGCTTTCTAGCGGCGTCGTTCTGCTTCACGACAACGCTCGGCCTCATGTTGCGGCAAGAACACAGACGCAACTGGACAAGTGTCGTTGAGAATTACTGGATCATCCACCATACTGCCCTTTCATATTGTCCGAAAATTCGAGGAATTTCGTGGTGGAAAATGATGGCATGTTGAAAGAAACACTTTAACTGACAGGCGACGACGTGATCTAAGAGCTTGTTTATTGTGACTTTGTGGAAATATGAAGAAATGTTCATATTTTAGTTTGTGATGCAGCTAACGTTCATAAACAGAATCTTTCCGACTTCGTTAAAAAAAACGATTCTTACTTAAAAAATGGCCCTCGTACATCCCTTCATCTCTGCTAGAGTCCGTAGCGAATTTATTTTTAAAGAAAGAAAAATACGGATGAATGTTATCACTTTAAAATGTTGCTGTGAAATCGATAGCACACTTACCATAAAAACAAAGAAACCTACAAGGGAATGTTCATCAATCAGATATTTTTTGCTATTGCAAACTACTGGCTTCCCTGTGAGGGAGGGCTCTTATAGATACTAAAATCTTCCATCATGCTTGTTATCTTCAACCATCCGACCAAACGAGTATAACTAATGATCGGTAAAATCATTTTGTAAGGTTTCTGAACGAGCAGATCTATACAATGGACAGTAAAGAAGCCAAGAAGATTTTTGAACAAGATCCAGACGCGTTTAGAGTTTATCATGAGGGTTATAGGCAGCAAGTGAAGCAATGGCCTCTTAATCCGTTGGATGTTGTTATACAGACTATCAAAAGAATGTAAGTATTCTTGATCAAAAGTTATTTGCAGTTTTTTTTATCAAGGGTGAAATATCAACGTGGTATATTTTTATCTCTTCACGCAAATAATTCTAAGCATTCTAGAAAAAAAGTTTTAAACAATAGTTGCTAGGCCTCGAGGGGCAAAATGATGGTGACTTTGACCATGACCTTGACAGCGACCTCCAAAGACATTTCAAGGTCAATCGAATGTTTTCAGATAGAGCCTCCCTTTTTTACACTGGAATAGGGAATATGCATGTCATTTAAATAACGCTAATTTATTTTTATTTATAGTCTATATTGCTACAGAAAGCCACCTCAACCGTATTTTATACATACTTACATACATACTTTGAAGTTGAGTCATTAATTTTCAGATAATGATTGTAGAAGGAAGATAAACCAAAATATGTGTGTAAAAATAAAATAAAAATGTTTACCTTGTTTTATAAAGTATCCTCCCGACAAGTATTTCAGTGCGGACCTGTATTTGATCGTGAGGTCTTGGAGCACCGGCATGCAGTCCCCTGTGTGGTCTTAAGTCACCTGATTCACGAGCCCGTTGTACTACATTAACAAAGGCACGAGGGGTTGGTTGCACTCGATTGGGAAACCGATCCGCATAAACATGTGCCATTTTTTATTTCGTTTGAGCCACGCAACAGACACTACTATTCATTGACACTGACTGTATACAAATGAATAAAATAATTGTAAAAACATCGTTCTAAATTCTTTCGCTTTTTTGTTTCCGATGCGATATGCGATGAACCGATACGGCGGATTATATCCGTTGTCGCCAAACACGAGCACATAATATTATTATTGAGACAGGACGGTACTCAAACTTCCAAAGGGCTATAACTTTGTTACTTTAATTTTACCAGAAAAATGGTAAAGGAAAAAAACATTTCTTTTGATCAGATCTACTCACTGTTAAAATAAATGACTCAACTTCGAAGTATATGCTAAATTTAAAATATGAAAACCCTTCAAAACTAGACAGCAAACCATGATAGCAAATTAATAAAACATAAAATAAAATGGCAAACTATGAGATGTGACGTCACTGAGAGAAACTCTACAAATGCGGCGTTTAAATCACGGCATTGACGTTATACATTTGATTTAAAAAAATAAAGCATTTTCATGAATGAACTATATCTTTACGGTATTAAATTAATGTAAATAATCGACAGAAAATACAACAAAAAACATGCATATGCTCTATTGGAAACAGGAGAAAATTTCCTATGACCTTCAAGGCTATAAGGTGAAATCAAGACATTGAAAATAATTTTCTCTAGCACAGCTGTGAACTTTGTGGTGATTTTCAGAATGATCTTGAAAATCATTGTCAAAACTATACAAACTTGAATATACAAGTGAAAAAACAAGGGGTTGCCTTACAAATAACATTTAAGATTGACATTACCTTAAGATTGAGGTCAAGGTCACATTCGGACGTAAATTCCTGTTTTTCCCAATCCTGAGTTTCTTTTGACTTGACCTTGTAGGTCATGGTCAAGGTTATCTTTGAGTGACAATCCGCAACTGGACTGTGACCATTTTTGACAGATAGAGCAAATTATTTTCAGTCATTACTTGAGCTTGAAATGGCCATGAAGGTTACGATCAAGGTCATATTCTTCATTTCTAATTCCAGTGTAAAAAGGTGGTTCCATTATAAATATTAATTTGTCCTTGAAATGGTCTTGGTCACCATCATTTTTTCCTCTCGAAACATGTTTTTCTAGTAAGCCTTGTTTTCGAAATATTCAGGTGGATAGATTAAAATGGGATACCATGTATTACGCATTCTTATTTCATATTTGTTTAACGCAGGCCAAAGTCACTAGTGGTAGCGGATTTCGGATGCGGCGAAGGTCGGTTAGCGAAGTCGGTGCCCCAACGTACCTTCTCCTTTGACTTGGTGGCGTTGGCAGATCACGTGACACCCTGTGACATGGCACATGTGCCTTTGCACGAAACCTGCATCGACGTCGCCGTTTTCTGCCTTTCGCTTATGAGCACCAACTTGGGTGATTACCTCCTCGAAGCCAATCGGGTTCTAGTCGTCGGGTAAGTTACAATCAGCTTTTTTGTTCTTGCGACTGTGACAAAATCCACGGTACTTTCCGAGTTATAAAGAACAGCGTTGCGACGAATAACTGAAATGATTGTCAGGAAATCGATAGTTTATTTAACTAATACATACACTACCGCTCAAAAGTTTTCGGACAGCAGATTTTTTGAGGGAAATCAAACCAAATCAAAAATAGAGTATGTTTAATCAAAAAAATGAGAAAGAAACAATTTTCCACTGGAGCTCAGTTAGTTGGTAACTTATTTCTATCAAAATTTACTTTAAATTCGTGATTCATCGAAATGTCCACCACGAGCCCGAATAACTGCATGACAGACACGACTCATCCGACGTATCAAATTTTCAAGAATAGTTAGTGATAAGGATACCCACGCTTCTTGTACTAGAAGGCTCTTGTTGCTTCACCTGTCTGTCCAATTCATCCCACTAATATTCAATAGGAGACAAATCTGGGGACTGGGAAGGCCATGTCGTGATTTTCATTGCACCAAGTTCTTGTTGCTGGTCCAAATAATTGCGGCATAGTCGAGATGAATGCTCAGGGTCGTTGTCTTGCTGAAATTCGAAATTGTTTCCAACAATCCTTTGTCCCGAGGGAACAGCGTGGTTTTCCAATATTTCCAAATTCTGCTTTTTTCGCATTATTCCCTCAATACGAACCAAATCTCCTGTTCGATTTCCAGCAAAACAGCCCCAAACCATTACACTCCCACCTCCATGTTTAACAGTGGGCTGCAAACATTGCGGAGCCATGCTTTTATGGGGTTGGCGGCGTACAAACTGTCGTCGTCGAGATCCGAACATTTCGAATTTGGATTCATCCGACCAAATGACTCGATTCCAATCGTCAGTGATCCAAATGTTAACCGGTTGAGTTTATGTATAGGTCGCAGGAGTGGTTTGCATGCTGCTACACATCCTCTAGGGTTAGCCCTTTGTAAGCGGCGTTTTACCGCGGACATGGACACAGGGTTTTCCCTCGTTCTGTTCAAGCTGTGTGTGAGTTCAGGCGAAGTTAAATGTCTATTTTTTTTATTTGTTATTACTATAAACCTATCTTCAGGAACAGTTGCAACTGTGCGTCTTCTAGAGCGTGGACGATCTACGACACTGCGTGTTTCTCTCTTTTTCTTCAAAATTTGAGACGCAAAATGCAGCTTTTCAGCAATCGGTCGAATTGGCAATCTCTCATCACGTAAGGTACATACTGCACCCCGTTTTTCAAGAGAAACGTTACCCGTCTTTACCATTTTCCATTATTTTGTAAAAATCTGACCCTAGCACATCGACTAGAAGTTTATACTATACTACGTACAATTTTTACTTTGTTTCATTGATACCCAAAATGTTTATGTATCACATTATGCCGAACATAATACATAGTACACAAAAAGTAAGCAGCGGAAGGAAATCGGCCGATTTATGACTGCAATGAACTAATAAAAATATCGACGTCTCTAAAGATGTTTACATTTATTCTTTAAGTGGTATTTCACTGATTCTTATACATCTTTAGCTTGAGCAGTCGTATTATAGATGGTAATAATCAATCAATGTCATATAAGCCTTATTTATTTTAAGTTCTCTTAAAAAAAGTTTCTGTCTCAAAATATTTGAGCGGTAGTGTACATGCATTATGTAAGTTTAAAAATATAACGTTCTCATCAAGTCCAATGCAAATATCCATAAGTTAAACTTAAAAAACACAGATTATAAAAAAAAATTGGGAAACATCCAAATTTTTCGCTGATTTTGGACAGGCTGTATTTCGGTGAAAAATGGTCGTATCTAGGAAATTAAAAAAGCATTTTGAAGCCCTTAGATCCTAGTTTTTAGATTTTTTATTCGAAAAATGTTAGGGGAAACGGTTCTTATGCGTTTCTAACAGACAGCGCAAGAAACATTTTTTGAAAATGTTTGCCTTCTTTTCAGTCCACGGGCTTGACTTTTTTCTGTTATGCTATCATATGGATCAGTTTATTTAGCTTCAATATCCCGTTTTTGAAAACTCGATACGATCATTTGGCCAACCAACCGATCATCAGCACTGTCTAGGCTTGGACTCTGGGAGGGCAACGAATGAAAGTTATTCTCAATCGACGGCATCAAGCGCTCACAGTGACGACTTGGCTTTCAAAGCCACTTAAACTTCCAGATTTCTTCAGTTCACTCTCACAGCGTCGATTCTGGTAATAGATGGCATTTGTCAAATCGTATTTGGATAGACCTTTACTTTGCTCTGCCTTCGTTTGTTGTCCTAATAGTCCGAGCCTAGACTATGCTGATGATTGCCAATAAGCATGAAGCAGCTGAACACGACTGGCCCTCGGTTGTCTGGGTTGATGGGAGCAGTTTTCTTCATGTTCAGACCACGCGATTAGACGTTATGGAGAAGTATTCAAACAAGCAATGTTTAATTATTGTGAAAAATCACTACAAAAATGGCGAAAGTTACGTACAATTTTCGGTCGCAATAGTGCGCCAAATGAGTCGACAGTTCGCCGTTTAATTACAAAATTCGGGACAAAATTCACGTTGGTGAATGTGAAGATCACTGTTCGTCGCCGACCTGGTCGGTTCCTGGCAAAATATAGTCGCAGTGCGGAAAAGTATGGCCGAGAATCCAGGCACTTCCATTCGGCATCGTGGCCAAGAACTGAACCTCACCAGACCCACTCTGCAACGAATTTTGACAAAAGATCTGCGCTTGCATGCGTACGAGGTTCAACTGACGCAAGAATTCTAGCTAACGGACCACAAACAGTTGAGCGCCTTAAAGAAGAGCTACGGCGCGTGATCGACGAAATAGAGCTACAGTTGCGCGAAAACGTTATCCAGAATTTTAAGAAAAGACTGACCCTGTGCCAGAGGTTTCTTGTTGGCCATTTACCGGATGTCCTATTTCATGTTTAATCGCAACTATTCCTCTTCAGGTTGAAATATAAATACTCGCTTAATTCGAAAAGAAATTGTGTTTTTCTTCAAAATCAAATCTGGCGCTCTTATTGATAGAGACCGTACCTCATGAATAGAGGATAGTTTATTAGAAAGAAAACTATATCATATAGACACCCTACTAACTTATGGTTAAATTTATTTTTCCAGTGGAACACTGAAAATCGTAGAAGTTGTCAGTCGATTCGAGAGGCCCGAGGATTTCATCAAAGCTGTTCAATATTTCGGCTTCAAACTGATGTGGAAGGATCTCACTCATGACTACTTCTATTTTATGGACTTCAAAAAAGATCACAATATTAAGGATAAGACCAAATTGCCGCAGTTCAAACTACACCTACAGCCTTGTATGTACAAGAAGAGATAGCTTGTAACATAGTACGCATTTCAATAAAGTTTTTGTTTATATGGCGCGATATTATTTGTGATATGAATCTGTTATCCTGATTTTATTGATTAAATAAATATGCACAGTTTATTTAACATAAAGCGCGTGATTTACCTGCAAAGTGCTCATTTGATGCAGCTTCTCCATATTTATTTCAGAAAAAATGTTGATCTGCATGTTGCAATGCCTAAAATTGTGTCAAACATTTTTTTATTCAGGTTATGCAAAACACCCAATCAGAATATTTTTCCGAGCAGTTGTAAAAAAGACACCTATTAGTTTTTTTTTTGGGCTCTTCTAGTGGCAACTCTGTATTCTTTCATAAAACTACTCTTTGGTTTGACCATTCAGCGAACGAATCGCTTGGTGCTAAAATTGGGGTAAGTACAATGAAAGTCAGATTGTATTTTTTTCATTTTATTGAAAAAAATCACTGTCATCGAGCACAGACGAGCAACCCGATAAAAACTTACAATAAATAAAAGTTCGACTTCCTTGTCGGTGCTGAATGACTTAATAAATTAATTTACCTTTAAGGCAAAAATAATACAAAACAACAGTTGTACGGAAAGACGTTCAACGAAATGGAAATCACGCGCACATGCACAATCACACACATCCATCATTTAATCAGTTTGTTTCAGTCTTTTATTGCCTAGAGATCACCTCACAACTCGTCCTTCAACTCGTCGTCTTCACTGCTGCCGCCAGACGGTGGTGGAGCACCTCCAGCTCCTGAAAATAACGAAAAAGCATTGAACACAATACCAACAAAAAAATTTCACATTATGATCAAATTGTATCACAGAAGATGCCCTCTGGTTTAAGTTTTCCACCACTTTTTCGTACGTTTCGGTAGGAATGTTTTGAATCGCTTATGCATCGTGCTTGTTTTATTAGCAGTATTAACACATCTTATGTATTAGTAATCCCCACAAAAAAAAATTTTGAGCTGCTAAATCGGATGATCTTGGGGGGGCAGATGATATCACCTAATGAGGAATTCAGACTCCCTGAAAACAGTCTTCCCAAACCATCAACTTCTCTAGCTGTGTGACTGTTTTTTAATCGCTGGTTTAGCTTCAAGTTACGTAACTTACAGTCAGAGTTATAATATTTCCTTGAGGCTTTCTTGGAAACAATGGATCTTTCCTTGGAAATAGTGAAACAATGACGCTTCCTCGAGGAACGTTCAAGGGAAGATATAAATTTTCATTTCACAAGAGGTCTCATCACAAACTGTTATCGATGTCAGAAATATTTTTTTTGCTGATCGAATCTATTTAGCAATTTGATGATAAAATTGGGACGATTTGGTTTATTTCTTTTTACCGGCAAATCAAGCAATCTTTCTCGGAATAGCTCTTAAAAGTAATCGAAAAAGAAATAAAGAAGTTTCAGGTTTGTGCAGATTTGAGCTTTATGTGATATTAATCAGTTATATATCGGGTTTTCCAATAAGGACTTGACAACTTTGAACTTTCACTGAGAACGCATCTTTATATCAATTACCTAACTGTCAATGACAAAACATTTTCATCATCGTGAAGTACACGAACGAACAACGCTTACAAATAACTAAAATTTACTACCGAAATTCCGAGTCGGTGGCTGCAACTTTAGGAGCGTTTACGCCAATTTTTTTAACGTAATTCTCGTTCCAGTAGAGAAGCAATTCATAGTCTAGTAAAAAAATTTCAGTCCACACATTCGCTGCTGGATGTTCCCGTGCCAATGAGACAACGGGTTGGTCGAAGTGCCGAGAATATTGCTGCCGTTCAAGCTGCCGTCGCAAAAGAACAGAACACGGCGTTCTCAAGAATTGGGCATCGCTGAGACACCATGGTAAATTTTGCGAAAAGATCTTGGCCTGCACCCTTATAAGAACAACTAAAGCCGTTCGATCATATGAACCGACTTACGTTCTCGAATTGGGCTCTAGAAACGTTGCGTTTGATCGCAAAATCATCTTCAGTGATGATGCGCCTTTTTGGTTAAACGGCTTCGTCCACAAGCAGAATATGCGTTATTGGTCCGGTGAAAACCCTCTTGTGCTTCAAGAGACACCACTTCATCCGCAAAAAATAACTGAATGGTGTGGTTTTCGTGCCGGTGGTGTCATTGAGTCGTTTTCTTCGTTGAAAATGACCGCCACGTCACAGTCAATGTAGATCGCTACAGAGGCATGTTGCAACGTTACTTTTTTGGTCAATTGAATGGGCTAGACATTAACGATATGTGATTTGAACAAGACAGTGGCACAAGCCACACAGCGGGTGAAACAATCGACATATTGAAATCAAAATTCGGTGAACGTGTTATGGTCCTGTCGAATGGCCTCCTAGATCGTGGATTTAACACCTCTAGACTTTTTTTGTGGGGCTATATTAAGTCATTGGTCTATGCCAACAAGCCAGCGCATCGTTAGAGGAGCTCAGAGCCAATATTGAATAAGAGATAGAGGCCGTTTCTGTCGAAATGTGTGGCCGAGTCATTGAAAATTGGGTTCGACTAATCGATCGCTGCAAACGGGTCCGTGGTGGACATACGAACGAGGTCGAATTCCATACATTAATGTTTCGAGTATAATTCAATCCAATAATAAAATTTTCGAGATATCTCAAATGGTTTGCGTTTTAATTAAAAGGAAAGTTGTCAAGTCCTTTATTATATTTTGATCACCCTGTATCCATAGGAAGCATCTCTGTATGACTGAATGATTTTTTTTTATACAGAATCAACCGCGTACTGACATCTATGCCACTTATAGTAGCTTGAAATCAATATAACAAAAAACAAAATGTAATCATATACTCGAGAAACTACTCACCTTGGTACAGTTTGGCAATGATGGGCTGCACAATATCTTCCAGCTCCTTCTTCTGTTTCTTGTACTCTTCCGCCTCCGTATCCTGATTGTCTTCCAGCCACTTAATCTTCTCGTCAATCGCCTCCTCCATCTTGGTTTTTTCGTCATCTGACAGTTTGGCTCCAAGCTTGTCCTTGTCACTGAGCTGGTTCTTGAGGGAGTAAGCGTAGCTTTCGAGTTCGTTCCTCGCTTCGACGCGTTCTTTCAGTTTCTTGTCCTCGTCGGCGAACTTCTCGGCATCCCTGATCATCCTGTCAATGTCATCGGGAGTCAGGCGGTTCTGGTCGTTGGTGATCACGATCTTTTCCCTGTTGCCAGTACCTGAAAGAAAAAACATTTACATGACAAGCACAACCTTGAAAAAACACAGTACAGTGAAAGCTCTCCTTGCGGACAGCTCCTATAAGCGGACATCTCTTTTAACCGGACAAAGTTCCTGGAACCGAATTTCAGCCATCAATTTTCAATGTTAAATGCATTCCGATAAACGGACGCGGACACTAGATTTTCCTGTATGTGATCAAAAAATCTCCCATAATAATAATAATAATAATAATAATGTTTATTGGAGTATTAATACATAATAGAATCAAAATACGAGCAAATAATATAACACAAAAAAAAATAATACTCCAAAGGGCTGGGGATTGGCATAGCCATTTTTCACCCCCGCCTGAATAGCTAAGGTAAAGTACATTACTACTATATATCTTACTAGGGTATATCATATACATTACATAAAGGATATTTGGTTGACTATAATAATGCTAACAAAACTTTAAAATATAATAAGATTAATAATGAGATTTATTCAGCCATTTGTGGATTCATTAAATTGTAACTGCAATAGCATTCTTTTGAATTCTCTTTTGAAGCTGTGAATGGACGTTAATTTAAAGAAACTTGGGTAATCATTTAGTATACTGGGAGCTATGTAATAGAAACATTTTTTAAATTTTGAGGTAGTGTGAGCTGGTATATTATAACAATATTCATTACGGAGGAACAGTTGATGGAGTGAAGATCTTTTCTCTAATGTGTCAAAAAGATATTTCGGAGATTTATATTTTAAAACCCTAAATAGTAGAACAGCATAGAGAAGTAACGAGCGATATTTGAACTTTAAAAGATTTTCCCTTACATAATACCCAGTAATGTGTTCGCGTCTGTTTATCTCATTGAAACAAAACCTCATACAATGGTTTTGTAAAACTTGAATTTTCTGTTGCATTTCCTCAGTGATAAAAGGGTAATATACAGTACTACAATAATCTAAATGTGTGAGGATTAATGCATTAACAAGTTTTAGTTTGATATCACTTGTTAATATATACTTATATCTCCATAGCGATTTGTATTTATAATAACATATTCTGAGCTTATTTATAATGTGACTTTCAAAACTTAAATTCTTATCAAGTACTATTCCCAAATTTTTTCTAATACCCGGACGATTTTTTAGTTCCGCTTATTGCAATGCACATATCTACATACATAAAATTCGGTAATTCCCCGATTTATATTAGGTGATTCCCCATTTACGCATTTCGTTGGGTAGCCTGTATGTAATCTTGTGGCTTGTCTTCAGTTCAGGCAAATTCGTAGTTGATTGAGTTACGTATTTTATTATTGTAACTGTAAAATGGCACCAAAAAAAAGGATGCTCTCGTTAAAGGAAAAGATGGAAGTTGTTAACGTATTAGACAGAGAAAGTGTTTCAGTTCGTCATTTGGCAAAGAGGTTTAATATTGGGAAAACGCAAGCAGCTGAAATTGCCAAAAATAAGGAAGATATCAGGAGTAAATGGCAATCAGGAACTAATATAAATCAAAAGAAGGATTTTTTAAAAAAGGAAGGTTTTGCAGGAGTAAATGGCAATCAGGAACTAATATAAATCAAAAGAAGGATTTTTAAAAAAAGGAAGGTTTTGCTATAGACAAAACATGTTTTGAGTGGTTTGTGAAAGCTAGATGTCAGAACATTCCAATCTCAGGGCCGTTAGTGAAAATGAAAGCTAAAGAAATCGCCACTACTTTGGGCTATAATAATTTCAGTGCGTCCGACGGGTGGCTGCAAAAGTGGCGCAAGAGACATAGTGTGAGTTTCAAATGCATATCTGGCGAAGCTGCTGCAGTAGATCAAGTTGATGTGTCACAATTTTTGGAGAAACTTCCGTCCATGTTGCTTGGCTACAAACCAGAAGATGTGTACAACGCAGATGCGAGTGGACTTTTTTTTCGCGCATTGCCCGACAAAACTCTGTCCTTTAAAGGAGAAACATGTGTGGGTGGAAAGTTGTCTAAAGATAGACTAACCATTTTATTCTGTGCAAATATGGCCAGTGAAAAATGCGATTTGATTGTGATCGGGAAAGCGGCTCGTCCCCGTGCTTTAAAAAACGTTGCTATTAAGGATCTACCAGCGACTTGGAAATCCAACAAAAAGGCATGGATGACCCGAGAAATCATGTCTGAGTGGTTAGTCGAATTCGACCGGAAAATGAGAATCCAAAAAAGACAAGTTCTTTTATTTTTAGACAATGCATGCTCTCATCCTCGTGATATGAAAATGAAAAATGTGAAAATTATATTTTTACCGCCAAACACAATTTCTGTTTGTCAGCCCATGGATCAAGCTGTCATACAGAACTTTAAATTTTATTATCGGCACTTGATTTTAAAACATATTTTAACAAACATTGACGATGGTCAAAGCTTATCTGAGCTTACAAAGTCTATCAATGTGTTAGAAGCTTTGTATTTTATAAAAACAGCATGGAATAAAGTAAATTCCTCTACAATTAAAAACTGTTTTGGCAAAGCTGGATTCAGCAAAACTGAATGTAGCTCAGAATTTGATGAGCAAAATTATTGCGATGCTGAAGACGATCTGCCCTTAGCGACACTTGCTCAGTTACTGCGACTTGCCAAACATTTAGGAGTAGCAGATCCCCAGAAAGTAGATGATTTCCTGGCCATAGACAATAACATAACAACAGAAGAAAATGCCATTGGCAACTTTTCGAATTTGGATGTAGAAAGCCCAGGCCAACTTGAATATGGTAGTCCAAACGACTCAGAAGAAGAAGTGGAACTGGTGGACTCATTAAGCGGTTCAAAAACGATAAATTCATATGGGGAAGCTCTAAATCATATTTCTATATTGAAAAAATTTGCTAAAGATGATTTCACTGCATTTCAACATTTGAAAAATTTAGAAAGTTATTACGAAAATTGTCTCCTTCAGCAAAAGATGGTGAAATTTCGTCAGACAAACATTTTAAACTTTTTTCAACAAGCTAAAGAATAATGTTTTTTTTAAATTCTCGTACCATGTATTGAGGCATTTATGTTTTTGTATGCGTATATGTACATATATTATATAGATATATAGCATAAATACATACTTTAAAAATGTGGCGAGTTTCTGTTTCATTTTTCTCATGATTATAATACCTCATTTCCTCATGATTATATACCCCGTTATTTATACTCTATACTTACATACTCTCTTTTAAACGGACACCTCCCATAAGCGGACAAAAGTTACGGAACCGTGAGTGTCCGCTTATGGGAGCTTTCACTGTATACAAACGAGCTAATGAACATGACACTAATTCGACTTTATATGGAGCAAAAACGAATGACTTAAAAAAGGTTAGCTATTGAATTGGACGGTATTTTTTGTTTGACAAGGCATGAAACTACACCATATTCCTGCATCCCAAGCAGTGACAACCTTCAAGAGAAAGTTAATTTGGTTGAATACTGAAATTTTGATCAAACGCTCTTTCTATTAGAATCTGCCTAACCCGTAACTGAAGGTCTTGATGCCGCAAAAATTCAAATTACCTTTGTCTTCAGCCGACACCTGCAGGATACCGTTGGCATCAATTTCGAACGTAACCTCGATCTGGGGCACTCCTCTGGGCGCTGGTGGGATTCCTGTCAGATCAAACTTGCCGAGCAGATGATTATCCTTGGTCATGGGTCTCTCGCCTTCGTATACTTGGATGGTGACTGTGTGCTGATTGTCAGACGCTGTGGAGAAGATCTGGGATTTTTTCGTGGGGATGACGGTGTTTCTTGGGATCAGCTTGGTCATCACACCTGCAAGGACGAAATGAATCCATTGAATACGCAATTGTGACACTAATAATCTCTTATTGAGTATTTGATTGGAACATGAGTGTCATTAACATTATTTATTGAAGATCGGTTTTCTCGAAAAAGTTATCATAAGCAGTAAATTATAACAGCAAGGATGTCTTGAAAGGGAAATCAAATTTAGTTCCATTTTCCAACGACTCGCACATTTTATATTGCGCATGTGTCATCCAGAGACTCGGGAATTTAATTATGGATCGGTTTACGACTGAGGAACGCATCAAAATTATGGAAACCTACTAGGAAAGCTCGCTCAATTTTTTCAGGAAAATAACGATAGTTAGACGGTAATTGTGAATGACGAGCGTTATCACAAGTATACTTTTAGCGACGCCAATTGGATAATATGCACCTCAACAATAGTGTTTTTAGTGCAATGAAAATAACGAATCGTTAAGCCGTCTGTTATGTTATTTTTGACAGCAACAGCTAATAACGACGGTCAGCAAAACAAGAGTTTTTATAACCACTAAAATGAACCGAAGTAATTTGACAATATTGAGTACTGTCAACCAATTCAGATAACTTATTTTTTATTTTTATGTGAGGTCAACACAAAATTTCAGGATTTAGTATAAAATTTTCATGAAAATGTTTCGGTAATATACAGTAATGGACAAAAGTATATAGACAAATTAATTTTGTGCTGTATTTCTTTTTTAACTTGTTTTATTAATACACCAACCTCAAACCTTGTCTACTCTAAGACAGCACGTTTGTTGACAATAACAACGATGTTGTTGATGAAACTACCCACAGCCTTTGAAACATAGTCCATATGAAGAGTTGCTACTTACCTCCAACAGTTTCGATACCAAGGGTCAGTGGGTTGACATCAAGCAGCACAATAGCATCAGTATCTTGCTCTCCGGACAGGACTCCAGCTTGCACGGCAGCTCCATACGCCACAGCTTCATCAGGGTTGATACCCCGGGAAGGTTCCTTGCCACCGAAGAAGTCTTTCACCAACTGCTGGATCTTGGGGATACGCGTGGACCCACCGACCAATACGATCTCATCGATGTCCTTTTTGTTCATGTCGGCATCTTCGAGTACCTTCTGCACGGGTTTCAGCGTGGATCGGAACAGGTCCATGTTCAGCTCCTCGAACTTGGCTCTGGTCAACGTTTCTGAGAAGTCCTCGCCATCGAAGAATGATTCGATCTCGATCCTAACTTGGTGGCTGGCGGACAATGCTCTCTTTGCTTTTTCGACTTCCCTCCTCAGTTTCTGTACAGCTCTGAAATAAAGTGGTTTTATTAATTGGCGTTGATATGGAATGATTTGATGTGTACGAGGGTGGTCTCAGAAGTACCCGGCCTGACCTAGAGATGGCGAAGGTTGTTTGAAAAATATCATTGTATTAGAAAGTATGCAACCTATAAAGCATATGTGTCAAGTTTGAATACGCCACGTTGTTTAGTATTTGTTTGGCAGCCATCAGTACTGAACGTTTTCAGTGCATTTGTGAAAATGGAGAAAATTGGTCATCGTTATGTGGTACAATACTTTTATTTCAAAGGCCTCAGCCCAACCAATATAAAAGCTGAACTGGATTCTACTCTGGGTGAGTCTGCTCCTTCGTTTACAACAGTAAAATATTGGGTAGCAGAGTTTAAACGAGGCCGTATGAGTTGCCAAGATGAGCATCGCAGTGGTCGACCACATGAGGTGACGATTCCAGAAATGGTGAAGAAAATTCACAAAGCGGTACTGAATGATCGTCGAGTGAAAGTGCGCGAGCTAGTAGACATAGTAGGCATTTCAAAAAGTGCGGTTCATCGCATATTATCTGAAAATTTGGACATGAGAAAGCTGTGTGCAAGATGGGTGCCGCGATTGCTCAGAATCGAGCAAAAACAGTGTCGTGAAGATGTTTCAATCGAGTGTTTAGCGAAGTTTGACAGCAACAAAGCAGAATTTTTGGGTCGTTTCATAACCATGGATAAAACATAGGTCCATCACTTCACACCCGAGACGAATGAATAATCAAAACAATGGACTGAAAAGGGACAACCAGCTCCAAGGAAGGCGAAGACCGTTTCATCTGCACGCAAGGTTATGGCGTCGGTTTTTTGGGATGCGCGTGGGATAATTTCCATTGACTATCTTGAAAAAGGTAAAACTATCAACGGCGAGTATTATGCGGAATTATTGCAACGTTTGAGCGATGAAATCAAGCAAAAACGGCCGCATTTGGTTAAGAAGAAAGTGTTGTTTCACCAAGACAATGCACCAGCTCACAAATCCGTCATTGCAATGGCCAAAATTAACGAATTAAAGTTTGAATTGCTACTTCTTGCACCATATTCACCAGATTTAGCCCCCTTGGATTATTTTCTGTTTCCAAACTTGAAACATGGCTCACTGGTCAAAGATTTTCCAACGATGAAGAAGTGATGTTGGCGGTTAATGGCTATTTTGAGAAGCAAGACAGTTTTTATAAAAAGGGTATCGAACTTATTGAACATCGCTGGAAAAAGTGTATAGAGCTCAAAGGAGATTATGTTGAAAAATAAATACATTTTTTACAAAAATTTTGTGTTTTCTTCGTTGGGTCGGGTGCTTTTGGGACCACCCTCGTAGTTTCATAATTATTTCCACCAGAAAAACGTAACAGAAAAACCTGAACATTTTATCACTTGTTGAAGGTGTTTATTTTTTTTGGTCATTCAGTATATTTTAAACGAAGCTTTCTCAAAGAACGTTCAAGCCAGGATTTAACATTTGCCTTCCACGGTAGGCTGTAGCAGTTGTCAACACAGGTGTACAAAACATTCAAATTTTCCAAAATTTGCGGGATTTTCGAAATTTTCAAAACTACCAGATTTTGCAAAGTTTTAAGATTTTCAATTTTTGAATTTTCAATATTTTGAAACTTCTGTATGCTCTAAAAGTTTTGAGAATCTTATAAACTCAGGCAATTTTAAAATTTTGATTAAAAAAAAAACGTGCAACTTTATAAAAAAGAAGAGATCATTCCCAAAGGAACGTCCATAATTATCATAGGTGTTTACCTTTGTTTGTCACTCAGTATATATGGACTTTAGTGAGCAAGGACAAACTCTTACCTGTTATCCTTCCTGATATCCTTGCCCTTCTTCTTCTTGTACAGCTTGATGAAGTGATCCATGACCCTCTGGTCAAAGTCCTCACCTCCCAGATGGGTATCTCCATTGGTGGCGACTACCTCGAACACGCCGTTATCGATCGTCAGAAGGGATACATCGAAAGTACCACCGCCCAAATCGAACACCAAGACGTTCTTCTCGCCATCCTTTTTGTCCAAACCGTACGCGATAGCGGCTGCGGTCGGCTCGTTGATGATACGCATCACGTTCAAACCGGCGATGATACCTGGAAAGAAAATACAGGGTGAGCGAGAAAATAAGTAATTTCATGAGAGTAAGCTGAAACGATGACTTTATACTATTCTAAGCCGTATCCAAGTCCAAGATTGATTTAAAAAAAAACATCACATTCACGACATTCTTCTGAGAGTATGGTCTTACTATTTCATTGCACTGGTAGAGTCCAAGCTGCAAGAGGGACATCAAACTAGAGATTGATGGTGTTGGAAGACATCGGTAGGAGTGCCACAAGGTTCTGTCCTGGGCCCCATACTTTTTCTCATCTATATTAATGATCTCCCAAATAATGGGATAATGCCCAAATATACCTTCTTTGCAGATGACACATCAATATCTCTTGCAGCTAGCTCTCTGATGGATATACAACAGCAAAAGTCAAAATCTGGTTTTATTCCAACAAGTTGCTTCTAAATGGTGAAGAGATTAAACAAGTTATCTCTCTCTACGAGAGAAATAAACATCCAAATTGAAGATCAAGTTAAAATTTTAGTATGACATAACCATAAGCTAAGTTACCTGCATCCTTGGTAGCCTGTCTCTGAGCATCATTGAAGTAAGCTGGCACAGTCACAACAGCGTGGGTAACCTTCTTCCCCAGGTACGCTTCGGCAGTCTCCTTCATCTTGCCGAGGACCATAGCGGAGATTTCCTCGGGGGCGAACACCTTGGTGCCTTGACTGGTTTCCACCTGGATGTGCGGTTTGCTGTTCTTCTCGATGACCTTGAAGGGGAACAGTTTGATGTCATGCTGGACGTTAGCGTCGTTGAATTCGCGACCAATCAGACGCTTCGCGTCGAAGATGGTGTTTTCAGGATTGGTGGTCAGCTGATTCTTGGCTGCGTCACCGATCAGACGTTCACCGTCCGCCGTGAACGCCACGTACGAGGGGGTGATCCTGTTACCTTGGTCGTTTGCTATTATCTCCACTCGCCCGTTCTTGTATACACCCACGCTGTAAAAGTAATGGTGATAAGCGTCTCTAAGATATGTTTTCTCGTCTCACACCATAAGCAAGATATTTTAATTTTGAATGTTCTTTAAACATAAGGTTCCCCTCCGCGTCTGTCTTTTTGAACGCGACAAAACCATCAACAGGATGTTCACCAATGGACAGACAGATTCACATGAGGAAGCTTTAGGTGTATCTATATATAACGTGAATGTGTCGACTTATTAATTGAAACACGAGGAAGGTTATATAGGCTCGGTTTTTTCCGCGATAATATAGTGTTCAGAAACTATGGATAGATCAAAATATGAGTTTTCTTAAATGAAACCCTTAGCTTTGACACCAGAAATGTAAAGAGCGAGAAATTTTGAAACTAAGTTTGTTCATTTCCTTCCTTCTTAATGGGAAACATCTATTTTCAATTCCTGAAATAATACTTTACACCACTTCCATGCGAGCGGACCCGCGGGTTTAGTCTAGTAATTCATATAACCAGCAGCTTTTGCATGAATTGACTGAAATATGACGATAATTGTAATCCAAGATAAACAAATTCGCCTATGAAAGTAATTATTTGGCATGTGGCTAGTGATGACAAATAAAATAAAATATGTGTTGTCTCTGCATAATAATTCACAAAAAAGTCGGGCAGACTATATGCGTAACTATTATACTTATGTCAGCATAACTGTTTTTTGTTCAAATTAGTAACCATGTATGAGTGAACACCCAATTGTATACAGCATTTGGGTGCCTAATAAGTGTCCCATCAGAGGGGATTTTTTTTAAATCTTTTTGATATGCAATTTGGGCCATAAATTTACCCGCGAAAAGAATCTTTAGGAGTTATTCCTAAAGCCTGTAAGTCATCCCCTAACCAAAACTCATATTGGACACCCACTATTTCAACCCCTGAAGTTATTTTGGCAATACAGCTGGCCTCTGTCCACCACCAGATCTAATCTACATATGCGCCACAGTTCATTGAAAGTGGTTCAGTTTTTTTAGGTTTAAAAAATGGATCAGTTTAAGGAAGTTATGAATGATGAAGCCATAATCTATCCCTCTTAATCCATTTTGGTATGTTAATTTATTATTTTTTCACAAATCATTTTCATGTTTTTTTTGTGGACCAAGTAAGTGTTCATTTTTGCTTGTTTCAAAACGCAATCCAAAATATGAGGTGATCAAAATGTTGATACATAGGGGAAGTTTGTCATTATTCACAGTCATAACATAAAGCATTAATATCAGTGTAAAAATAATTTTTTTGCAATTAATAGACTGTGTTAACAACAATAACATGTTGATGTCCTTGATTTGATAAAAACACTGATAACAGGTACCAATTAAAAATATAACTTGTATATGAAAACCAAGCTGTTATATTTGTTTTTTGATTCACATGTGTATTTTCATATGTATAAAAATCAACAACAGAGGTTTTCATATTGGATATAAAAGTATTTGTATATATCCAAAGTTAAAGGGAGCACCTGAGCCTCACAAGAATTTCAAGAGCTACCCTTAAAACGTGTACCAGACCAGAACTCCAAAATAAAATATCACACTTACCATGAATATGTTGTTCCTAAATCAATACCAATAACTGTGCCCACATCATCTTTTTCCTTCTTGTCCTCCTTAGCAAAAACTGCTACTAGGAGGCACAGCACCCCTAAGCATAGCTGCAACTTCATTTTGGACTTCAATCTGAACACAATCTGGAAAAAGGTGTCATTGAACAGAGGACTTTTGTAACTGTACTTGGTAACTGTTCATATTACACACATGGAAGATGTGACACGTCATTAATTAAAGTACCGTTCTTGAATTGAAAATGTAGTTGAAAATAGGTCACTTACTCGTCTTGAAAAACGACATTCAAAACTACTTGCAATTTTTATCTCAAGAACGTGATAATAGAAGATTCCGATTATTCTAGAATACCGCTGTCCTCACTAGATATTTTATAGATTCTCTATTACAGATGAACGAAAATGTTCAAAATCAAATGCTGAAAATACTCACATTTAGTTAATGCACACACAGGAAATCACAAATATTAAAAATCTTCAATAATTTATGAGATATCGCTCCTAAAACTTGCAAATTCAAACACCTCTTTCAATTGACTCTCTTTGACAAACTGGCTGAAATAATTTCCGAAATACCAAAAATATATCTGGCAGAGTACTCGTGTTGGGTATTGATTGGACGATCGGTAGACGAGGCGCGATTCTATTGGCCGATGTCTAATTTGGTGGCTCGCTTTCATTGGTCCATGTCGATCAATGGAAATATCTAGAAGTATGTGTGACGTGTGTCGTAGTGTCATGCTTTTTTGAAGAGGCATTGAAAACCTCGCTGCCAGAGCGTCTTATTTTTCATATAAGACGCTACTTTTACCAACTAAACGTATTCTATTTCGCGCCCAAAAAAATAATGAGATGACATGAGATACGGTTGCGTCACCTATAAGAATTTGTCAGTAATAATAAATATACCTTGGAAAGATTAGATGGCGCACTCGCCACTCTATTATCAAATAGTACATGTATATTTCAAGGCATGGTATCTCATTTCATATCAGATATTTTTTTGGACGTGGAAATATAGTATTAGGTTGGCTATTTTCAGGTAGTATACGTTGATAAATGATAATAGGGTACTGTTAGGATGTACTTGCAATTAAATAGAGCAAGCCGATGCAAACGAATTGTTTTGCTTTGAAATGCGAGTTCTTTATCTGTTAGCCTGCAATATCTGCGAAAGAATGAACAATCGAACAGTCAATGATCCATCAGAGCTTGAGCGAGTTCATGTTATATCCATAATGCCGTAACCATCAACTGTATTTCGGCGTTCAGAAAATTATCCGATGAAATCAGATATCCAGGCGAATCTATCAGAATTTGTCACTAGTGAATCATAGTTGACGCTGATGCCAACTAGCAGGCAGGATATTTTTTTTTGACGCCTAAATACAGTATCTTCAGGTAATATACGTTAATCAATGGTGTGAATGAACTCGGGTACTTGTCATTTTGAAATCCGGCATCGTCGCTAAACACGATTCGGGAAAAACAGGCGGGAGTTTCAAAATTTGAATGACGTTTTGCATAACCTATTTATATTGTTTACGATTTCCCGGGTTTAACGTTTTTGTTTCGTCTAAAAAATTTAATAATCATTTCGAAATGCAAACGATCGCAAAAAGTTTGCTGTAAATATCAACCTAATCTTAGTATTTATATTTTTGGAAACGTTTGAGCTCGTTTGAATTATAATGGAAGAATGCATAGAACTCTCCAGTGATTCAAGTGATACAATAATTTTACCCCCAGATTATGCTTCAAAAAATCGGGCACTTACAAAACCTAAAGACTATTATGATCTAAGTTCTTCTGATGATGATACTCAAGACAAGAAACAAAGTGAGATTTGTACAGGTGAAGACTCGGACAGCAAACATATAGATTGCGAAGAAATACTACAAAGACTGTGCAAAAAATATTCTCAAAACTCCTCTCAAGATGCGGTTGGATGCTCTAAAAGTAGCTCCATTCCACCAAAGTCTTCAGACAGTGAACACAAGAAAAAGTATGACACTAACATTGTGTCAAATAAACAAGAAAGTGATTCAAGTTTTGATTGTCAAGCAGCTAATGTTCCAACTAGTGATAAAAATGATAAGGAAACTAATATATTTGAGATGAATTCTGAAAGTGTCAAAATTGGAGTAAAACCTAAAGAATCTGTTGATGAAGCACTTGAAAATCTATATAAGAAATATTTTTCTAAAAGCTTTAATGAAAAAAATGATGCAACATCAGGCAACAGTCAACCATACAATGGAAAATCAGATTCTGAGAATGAGGATCAAGTTCGTGAAAATACCAATTTGAAGAAGGGGAAAAGGGGTACTGCAACCCTTAAGAGAAAACAAGAGCTTGAAGAGCAGAGGGCACAGAAAAAATCACAGAAGGAAAAAGAAAAAGAGTTGAAAGAACAGGAAAAAGCACTGAAGAAAGTAATGAAAACACTACAGAGGCACAACAGCAAGGATGGTTGTATAAAGGTTTATATGAGAAAATATTTTGGGTCAATTGTGCTAATATTTTTATTTTTAGACTATTGTTGTTCAGGTGGAAAAATCATTGTTAGAGCAAGAATTTTGTGAATGCATTAGCAAAATTCTAAGAGAAAATGATATTTTATTTAGGGCAATTGAATCATTCCCCAACCATATCACATGGCTGAGGAAAACTCAAACCTTGGAAAATATGGTATGCCTTTTAATGTAAATTTTATTTCTGGAGTGGAGCTTGCAGTTAGGTGTCTCAATTTACTCCTGAAAAAATATGCAGTGATTTAATTTATTTCTACAATGGGGCTTGCAGTTAAAATCTCAATTTACTTTTGAAAAAAATATGTAGTGACTCTATAGTGTTTTCCATACAGTTAGTATTGAATTTCTCCCAAGGCTATAATGTGACAAATTTTGAAACTGTTGAGAGTAAAAAGATCTCTATTCTTACTCTTGATTTCAGTATCCTACACATTTTTGTTGATTATACAATAGAGTAAATTGACTCGGTGCTTTCTATTAGATATATAGTTAAAGTTTCAAGAGAGCTCATCATACCTGCTTATGTAAAATCAGTACATCTGCTACACAACAGTATGATTTTATTGACAGTCATGCTCAATCTTTGTTTTTAGGTTTTGAAAGAAACTGATTCAGATGAATCTCACCACTTAACAATCATACCTCTAAAAACATTTATCAAACAGATTAGAGAAAGTAATCTTCTATCTCATGTTGCTGAAATTTATAGTAGGACTAACTTTAAGCATCTTACCTTGGTTATTTTTGGCAGTAGTGGACCTAAAGATGATGCCCAGGAGAATGCAATGTTACAAGTGGAAATGTCATATAAATGCCTATGGCATTTTGCTAAAACTGAGGAAGATCTAGCAAATTTCATTCTTTCAGTAACTAAATCAGTTTCTCAAATTCCATATAAGTAAGTTTATTCCAAATTTACAGGGTGAGGTTTTTGTGTGGTTACAAAACATGTAGTCAGCAGTATGCTCCTTACTGGGAAAATATTTTTATCTCTACAGGGTGATCCAAACATCCATTTTTAAAATGGCCCCCTTTTCACAAGCTTAGATTTAGATATGTATTTCCAAAAAAAAATAGCACAATTTTTGTAATTAATTTTTTTAGTTACAATGCATAGACCACGGTCACACTAGAAACTCATATTTTATTCATAAACATCATTGAAATTATCTGTATTTATGTGAGAATTTTGAACTGAAACATTTTCACTGTTGTAAAGCAAAATACAAAATTTCATACCATTTACAATTATTTGATTGTATTTATCACAAAAATGCTTTTGAATGATTTTTTAGGCAAGAACAACAAGAAAAGTATCAACAACAGAATTTGTATTTCAAGGATTCAAATAAAGACACAGTGAGGGTAGATAAAAATGGTAATGGCTTAGGGAGATTGTGGCACCAAATGTTGACTATGTTTCCCATGGCAAGATTGGAACATGCTGAAGCTATAACAGCTGTTTACCCAACACCAAAGGCACTATTCCAGGTAAGATACTAGGAAAAATAAAATACAAGTAGTCATTTGAAAAAAAATGATTCTGGTAGTTTTCTTAGAGTTTTATACAATTATTGTATAGTTGTAGTCTCGGTTCTTGGAGGGTCAAAGTCAGACTACCAGTATCCCTTCATATATCTTCATCTCCAGGATAACTTTCAACATTATTTGAACATAGATTGTTTTGTCCTTATTCAGTCTCATCGGTTGCGTAAAAATTTGCACCATCCTATTTCTTGGTAATGAAACATTTTAGGACCTATGCTTCTACTTTAAAAATACTGCCAAGTTTTTATGAAACACCCTGGCCCCATAATTGATATAATAAGGGGATTAATGTGACATTACATCTTGTGGTTTTCATGTTGATAATTGCTCATGTTTGTCTGGGAATCCAACCACATATGTTTAAAATTCCTCTTTATTGGTCAAAACCTTGTACATCAAAGATGAATTTTAAACGTATGTGGTTTGATCTGGCCAGGCAAACATGGGGAATAAGTGGAGCCTCAACAGTTGATTAATGTTTTTTTGTAGGGATACAAAAACTGTGAGAATAAAGAAGCAATGCTACAGGAGTTACAGATTAGGAGAGGCCAGGGACCTTTGACATCAGTAAGAAAGTTAGGACCTGAACTGAGCAAAAAGTGTTGTAATTTTTTCAATTCCACAGAAAATACCCTTATTTGAAATTCATAATATGATCGACCTAGTATCAAAAGAACATTTAGAATTTTTGAAGTTCTGTGATATATTTAGTAGGTTATTTGATTCCATTTTCACTTCAAACCTTTATTTTTCAAAACAGTTTCTGAAAACGTGAAAACTTTACGCATTATGCACATAGAAGTGATGCTGTAATTCAGAAATGTGATGTTAATTTGAAAAAATATTTTTGGGAAAAATAATTATTATAATAACTAAGAAGACTGAATAAACGTGTTTAACAAATATTTGATTTTTGTTTTGGTAAAATCCTATCCAATACATGTCGTGGTTTGTGTGCTTTAGAATCGTCTTGGTTTTTTTTATATTCCATTTTTCTTCTTGACAAATTCCTTTGTTGCTTCCCCTTTCAATATCTTCTTCTTACTAGCCATTTCAACTGAACCAAGTGAACCGGTGAAAGAAAGCATCCTTCCTTGGTTCATAGTTTATTCTTGGTAGCTTCAAATACTATTGAATGGGAATAGTAGTAAACAATTATCACCTTCTGAGGAAGCAATGCCACATAACATTGACTGAGGAACAATACAGTGACATAAAATATGCCATAAACAGCAAGAAAATGAATCTGTGTTAAAACGAACTTTATTGTAGACCCAAGTGGAATGAACTTTTCAGCCTCAACCTTGTCTTTAAGGGTTGGTGTGTCAACTTATTTATTTTGTATTTGGAAGAAAAAACAATTTATCAAGTTAATCTACGTTAGGCTATTTATTTTTATGCAAAAAAGGATGGATTACGTTTTTTCTTCTAAAGAAATTGAAACATTTCGAATTTGTGAGTAATTCGCAACAAACGATGGTAAAGACATCCAATTACTCACAAATACGAAATATTTGAATTTGTTTAGAAGAAAAAAATGAAACCTTCGTTTTTCGCATAAAAATAACATTTATCTTTCGGAATGGTTTGTGATTCATATCCGCAAGGTAAACACTT